GGGGAGTGAGCTGCGCTACCCTTGCCGTGCCGCTTTTTTTCCCCCCGATTAGGGGGGGAAAGTTAACGGGCTCCTGGGAATGTTCTGGCCTGAGCGCTGTCCCGCCGCGTTTACGTGACCCCTCTAGAGCAATTCAGCCTTTGTGAAGGGGAGAAAGCGCTTTTGTCTGCACCCCCGCCACGCACCCACACTGTTCTAGGACAGTAACTGTCCAGCGGCTCTGCGTGAAGGTGGGGGACAAAGAGCAGCGCCTGGGTGGACTCTGTCAGGCCCGTTCTCCCTGCTGACCCCTGAGTGGTGTTGGTGCAGAAATAAGCAAAAGCTGGTGCCACAAAAAGGTAAGTTTGTGACAGAAATGTGCGTGTTTGTCTTTTCATGTTTCCCACCCCCTAAAAATGAGCTGCCTGTTAATCATGATTTAAAAAAAAAAGTGAGACCAGTATCTAAATATGTTAGAGCTCTTAATGTGCTATTTCCTATGTCCTGCCCCAGCTTCTGGCTGAACTACGATTTGTTTTCAGTCTGAAGTCTGGGGATGAAGTGTCCTGCGAAAGCCCTTCCTTTTAGCTTGTTGCTCTCTTTAGAAGCTTTAGCTGGTGGCTGGATGCTCAGTGTCTTCTTGAAAAATTAGTGACTGCGAGGTTTTGCCCGAGAGAATTCACCGAATTGTTGTTTCCATTGGCTTTAAGGGTTTGCCTCATTCGTGTGTTCCCACATGAAGATTCCTCTCTGATTTCAGGGATTGGTTCCTGTAAAGCTACTTTTCAAAAAACCGAAAGGATGTTCATACAAAAGTACAGATTCAGCTGGAATTCAATATTCGGCTCTTCCCCTGGGCCGGAGGCTGTAAGTCTCTAGGGCAGTTTAAGTAAAGTTAAACGGTGATCCAAATGAAGTACATCTGCCTCTTCAGGCTCCCTGAAGGGATCTTGGAAAACTTCAGTTTTCTTCCTCATGTAAGAATTCAGGTGTCACAAGCTGAGCCAGGAGAAATGCAAAGGGCCAAGTTGCACAGAGCAGCAGAGCAATCAGATGACTCATCCCCAGTGAGAAGAAGTTCTGGCCCTGCTGTGCTCTTCCCTTCTGTCCCTGCACTGATGCAGTCTCTGCTTGTGTGATGGCAGACATCGGGCTGCTATTTCGGGAGATGATTTTCTGCTTTTGAAAGAGAGGGATGAGCTCCTCTTCAGAGCTTTAGTCTCTTGAAAGTAGCACAGCAAGGCCAAGTGTATCCAAACTGTGCGAGGGTGAGGAAGCAGCACAGCCAAAATGTGAGAAGAGGATTTCCCACAACATGCCTTTCAGTAGTAGTGAGCCATTGGGTTGCTTTGAGTGGTTTAATTTCACCCTGAAGAGAAAGGAAAGAGGCAAAAAGATTTTTTTCAAGCTCTAACCTGTATTATAGTAAGAACAGGTTTAATATATCCATCTCAGTGCTTGAAATTTTTTGTGTGATTAAAGCAAAACCATTTTCTGGATGTTGTTTTCTCAGTTTCCCAGTTTAATATCAGCTAGAATCCTTATTCATTAATAAAGGTTTTGTTTTCTTAGCTGATAGCAAGATCGATCGTTCTGTACTTTTTATTTTTCTTTCTGTCTTTTTTCAACAGCTTTGTTGTAGAACAAGAGCGAGCCATGGTGTGCATTCCTTGTATTGTCATTCCGATTCTCCTGTGGGTCTACAAGAAGTTCCTTGAGCCGTACATCTATCCCGTTATCGCACCTTTCATTAAGCGTGTATGGCCCAAGAAAGCTGTGCAAGAAACAACGGCCACAAAAAAGGGTCAGGGAGGCGGCACTGGAAACCCACGGGCACCTTCAGCCACAAAAAGAGATCAGGAGGATGAATCTGGAATTTATAAAGTAAGATTAATGTGTTTACTTAACCTCACAAACCACAGATCAAGGGTACCTCAGTAATTCAGATTGGGTTCTTTGAAGGCAGCAGGAAGGTGTAAATGGGTGTTTATGGACGTTTTTGGGGCTTTTTCGTTACCAAAAGGAGAGTTATTGGTACTGATCTAACTGGGATGAACAGTCTGGCAAGATTGCTTCAGGGAGACCCTAGACAGGAATTCTGTTTTCTGAAACAGCTTGTTTGTGCATATATATGTGTTAAATATATTTATATTTAAACACACATCTTATATACATAACCATCTGTTATCAAAGAAAATTCTGTGTATTTTAAAAAAAAAAAAAAAACTTTTTCAGCCAGTGCTGCTGCTGATGGGCGAAAATGTTTCCTGCATTTAAATTGTGCAGGTTCTATGTATGCCTTCTAACAAAATAACAAAGTGCATGTTATTTTCGGGGGTTGGTATATGTTGTCTCTGTCTTTATTTCTCACCCCTTCTCCTGAAATAAAAATTGTGTGTAAATCCCTCCTCCCCTAAATTTTCACTTTGATTATCACTACAAATTTCTTTATAGACCACTGGCTTTGATTCTAGAAATCACTTTTGTGATCAACTAAATGTTATGTTGATCATCAAATCAACATACACATTTACATACATTTACATCAAATCAACATACATTTACATCAAATGTTATGATGTAAAGTCCTTTTTATTTTGATATCCTATTAATGATGCTGTCTTTTATTTGCAGTTTGAAAGCAATGGGGTTGCAAATGGAATTGCTACAAAGGGAGACACAGATGCTTCTGACAAGAAAACAGATTAAATGAATTTATTTACAAGGTTTTTCTCCCATTTGTCTATTATGAACTGGTGACATTTCTCTTATTTAGAGACTTCTTTTTCTTTATATGTGTTAGCTTAATGGAAACCCCTACCACTTGTAGGAGAGGTTTCTTCTGCTACTATAATGGCAACTAGCAGTTTTTTTGTTCAAAGTATTTGAAAACTGTCTTAAATTATTCTTTATTTTCATCACTGAAACTACTTTTCTTCTGAAACCTATTTGACATGATTGGAGTTTAGATTAATTTATTAATAAATGTAGCTTGGGAAGGTAAATGTGTTGCTGCGTAGTTTCACTGGCTGCTAGTGCAGTACTTCAGGCTTTCCCTTTAAGAACTATAACTATTTTTGCCCTTGCTAAAGACCTATGAATTGCATAAGTTAACATAAGTATTATGGACAAATTATGAAGAACATAAATGATCATGTGAAATCTGTTGAATTATGCTATATGCAGAATTTACTTTGCTTACTACGAGCAGAAAGTCTTGATCTTCAAACCCGCTTGGACGCAGTCCTGTGCCACGTGCTCCAGGTGACCCTGCGTGTGCAGGGGGTTGAACTAGATGATCTCTAGAGGTCCCTTCCAACCTTAAGCATTCTGTGGTTCTATGATCTGATACTTCCATTCCTCATTTTTTCCTTGAAATATTGTGCCTTTCCTTCCTGAATAGGAGGAGCAAGGGCATAAAACATGAAAACTGTTGCTTTATATTCTGTTGCAGTGGTTTAAAATGATGCAGTTGTGTCTTAAATAGCTAAAATCTTGTTAACATAGCTGTATAACTTAAATTATAATAAACCAGGACCTTATTTAAAAATAAGCTGCTTCATTTATTTGGTCTTATGCTTTTCAATAATAGAAATCTAGAGTAGTAAATGGATAGTGAGATATTTAACAGCACAAGTGAAACAAACGTGAACATAAAGGGTAGAGCAAAAGCTTTAACATTTTGCAGTAAAGGGCTCCATGCTGAAATGTCTTGTTCCCTAACTTGTGGATACTTTTCGCCCTGCTGCAATGACAGTGTGACATGGGACACCTGCTTGTAAACGCAGGAAGGGACCACCAGCGATGGGTTCGCTCCCCAGCCAGCCTCCAGACAGAGCACCACACGTCCTTGCCGTGTCTGCACCCCAGAATGCCCTTTGCCAGCTTTATATAACCTGGTTTCAGTGGTTCACTAGTAAAGCAAGCCTAAGCAGCGTTTATAAACTCTACAGAATTATTTGGAATATTATTATTCAAGCAAATGCATCGATAACAAGGAAAAAAACTCAGTAGATTGTGTTGTAGTTTGAACTTCTGGCTCTGAACCAGCACTGTATTTAAACACCACAACTACTCCAGTGGCCGCAAAAAGCAAAACAGCCAATGCAAATATGTTGTTTTGGTTGTAAAATTGCACAGTCTGTGCTTTCCGCAGGGGCAGCTCACTAGTAGCTGCAGTTAAACATTAACACGAGTAATCTGCATTGTAAGACTTTCCTCAATAAGGAGCTTCACTTACAGTCCTGGCAGGAGATCTGTGTTGCGTCTGTCCCTTTCCAGTACCTGTGTTGCGATCAGATAGGCAAAATAATAATAAAAGCAGATGAAAGTGGTAAGCGCCTATTTTTGCTGCCAAAGCCTGGCCAGGGCAGCCGGAGACCATTTGCTGGGTTGCACAGAACAGAGCAGATTCAAGCTTAAAATAATGTGCCAAAGAAAAACACGAGAGAGCAAGATTTTTAAAAGAAATAGAAATAGGGGATTTAGGGATTTAAATGAGAAATAAGATTGAACTGAGAGAATCACTTAGTGGTTGCTCCTCACAAGAAACTGGATTTATGGAAGGATTTATGGACGACTTCAAGCGAGCCCGATCCCGGGGCCCGTTGGGCTCAATGTAAGGATGAACTTAAAGCCCTTTAGGGCACTACATTTCCCAGGGTGCCTCGCGCCGCGGCACTACATCTCCCGGCGTCCCCCGCGGCGGCGGCGAGGGGCGTGGCCAGCCGCGC